TGTGGTGTAGAATGCCCAGAACTGAAAAACAAATTGTGAAAATTATAGTAACTTTCTTACTATGAGCTTCACTTTATAAAAACATCTGCCATCTTGAAATTACTGCGTAACTGTTCCATATTTGGAAGTAACATTTCCTATTACAAGGTTGCGGTAAATTACATAAATAACAAACATAAATACATTGTTTGTTTAATTATCTTGTCAAAGTCGAATTACAGGTACTTTTTCTGCAGTCATACAGTACTTGCTTTTATTTTGTATCCCATGTACTTACGTAAACTATGTACAAAATAAGTCATATTTATTAATCATCCCGAATACAACATACAATTTTAGATTTACTTGTGCTTCCATGGGAGATGAGATTCTAAAACAAATAGGGAATTCAAAAACATTTTTCATTTGACTTCTACAGAATTCTACGCACATATCCAGTAATGCACCTGCATAGAATAGATGCTGATACTTTTATCGATTATTACGCTTTGAATATATTAGTACACTTCTAAGTGATGTTGCCCATGGTAATTAATTAACAATAAATTGTCTTAATTATCTAGTCATGTAAAACAAGTCTGTCTAAAGGAATTTAACCTGATAAATAGGCGAGAAATGATCACAATTATGTTTTAAAAATGTCATATAACTAATACCGGTAACACTTGTCATCAACCTTTGATATTTTCACCAAGCACAAAATATATTTTTGGAGAAAAACTGTCTGAGAAAATGCAAAAATACACATTTGTTTGAACAATTTCAATAAGAATTCATGAACAGCATGAAATAAAACAGTACATCTGATTATTTATTTTGATGGTAGCCAAATTTGATTGAGTTGCTTGTGGGACATTCACAGACAGTCCTGAGATTATTATGAGAAATGTTTGATGGACTGTTACAGGAACTGGGGGAATCATCATATTTTGATGCTTTTCAAGGCATCTACACGCTGTAAATTATTTCTGAATCAGCGTCCAATTGATTGTGTGTTCAAAGTCATTTACTTCTGTTTTGAAATCACTGTGGCCCTGCAGTAATTCGAAACAAATAAACTAGAATCCGATTAAATCCTCATTTTTTTCCTTCTCAAAATTCAACCATCAAAATATTTTAAAATATAGTTCCAAGACCCCAGAAAAGTCTATGAATGCTCTCTGAGTGAATCATTAAGAAATCGTAAAACACAAAGAAGATACTTGATAATACATATGGTATACATGTATATATGTGTACCTACTCTATGTCTATCTAAGATCAATGACCTCTACGAGGAAACACCCACAACTGGCACAATACAACAATACAACAAAATCAGCATGACTGTGCTAGAAAAACCAGTAGACAAAAACCTCAATCAAAAACAGAAAAAAAAATTAATTCTGCAGTACATTTGACCTTTTAGCAATTAACATTGGGAAAAGTATATGCAAAGGATAGTTCATTGCTGGAATCAAGTCAGAAATCTTGAAGATTACTAGTATTTGAAGAGCTTTTAAAGTGAATTAAAAGATGGAATCTGATAACATTGATTGTTAATTAGGTCACTTGGTTGTACATACAGCTTAGTTGATTCTACAGAGCAAATGCTCTGCAAACATTCCAGTCCTAAAGCAGTAGTAACTCGATCTATAATTCCAAATTTGAAGTAAAGCCAAAAAGAAGAAATGTTTCTAGTCTGTTTGAGTCATAAAATCAACACACTGGGTACCTTTTTTTCAATTTTTATTCTCAAATAAACACTTCCCTTAGGAATATTTATGATAATAGAATTTTCTTTGTTCTTTTTTTTATTCTAGGGTTAATTGGCAATTTTTATATTGCCACTAAATAACAATTTATTTGTCAAACCAATTGTTCCCAAAATATAGAAGGCAATGAACAAATGAAACCCTGGAATTGTGAGAGGTGGGTGGGTAAATAAACACTATTATGCATATTGTAAATATTTCACTCACCCATAAAAATAACAATTATTACATGTTTTGGAACCGGAGACAGTCTGTATTCATAATAATTAATATTTGAATATTAAAAACAAACTTTTTGGCATAGTATCTTGATTAGATAGAATACCGATACATATTCATACAGAAATTAGACGCATTCATATGGCGGATATACTTACCTCCCCGGTGACCTATAACACGAGCTTTAAAGCAAATATTTTTCCGTCGATGTACAATGTTTGGGAATTTCAACAGCACAACAGACACAATTATGTAAATTACAAACAGTGTTGCAACCGTTATACCAATAATTAAAGAAGTTTCCATGAATATAGAGCAGTGTTCTTAGTACTGATATAAGTCTGATTATATAGAGCACTTAAACGGCTGGTAGATTTCTTATTTGCTGTGTCACGTCAGGTGAGTCATTACAGACAGTATTAATACACTAACGACGGACAGCGGCGAATTGACATTCCAGGTTATAACATCTATTTGCATAATGCATTCAATGAGTGATGACATGTCCCCAGTTGGTAAAACCCATAAATATTCCAAAAGTTATGGACAAGTCTTTTAAAATCGGTATAAGGTGGAACAGCACCTCAAATGTTAAAGGGGGGTTGAAAATATAA